AGACAGTGAGACTCGCTGTCTCGCTCGCTCTCGCGCAGCGGCGAAATGGTGGGGCGGTTTTCCGTGTTGCCGAGAAGCCAAATGTGCATCACTGCTCTCCACCGATAATACAATGTCATCAACATAACGGAAATAAAAAGAAGTGAATATGTTGTTGGATTTTAAAATATATTCTTCTAGATCTTGTAAAACAATGTTCGCTAATATCGGAGAGAGAGGAGACCCCATGGGTAAACCAAGGATTTGTTTAAAAATTTTTTTGTCAAATTTAAAAAATGTGGAGTTAAAAATGATTGAAATCGCTGTTAAAAATTCATTAATAGGTATTAAGGTTCCAGTTCTGATAGATTCCCATCTTCGTTCCACGCTTTTTTTAACTAGGTCAATCGGTATATTAGTATACATGGATACTACGTCAAATGATATAATACTAAAATTATCCTTTATTGGCATCCCATTGAGTTTCTTTACAATTTCGACAATATTTTTTACATGACCAAAGTTATTTTTATTTTTGTTTTCTATTAAATTTTTTAGGAAAGACGCCAAAGGAAAAAACGCGCTATTAATGCAACTGATTATTATTCTAAGAGGTTGGAATTCTTTATGAATTTTTACTAAACCATAACTTCTAGGAAGATTCGCATCTGTTACAAGCATTTTTTTGTATAATTCTTGGTCAATGTATCCTTTGTTTCTCCCTCTCACTAATAAGTTACGTATGTCACTGGTTATTTTATTTAGTTGGATCTTTATTTATCAAAGTGTATGTACTTTGATCTGCTAGAGCATTATACATTTTTTTATTATAATCTTCGCGACTCATTATAACAGTTGTATTTCCTTTGTGGGCTTTGGTAATGAGAATATCTGGATTATCTAAAATGAACCGCTTGACTTCTTTTGCACCTTCATATAAAATACTATTGTTTGAATTTATTTCTGAGCAATGATTAATAGATCTTAGGATATGAATGGATTCGTTTCTTATATTATTACATATTTTTTCATCTACTTTAAATAAGTTACATTCAATATGTTTTATAAATTCATGAGTGATTTTTTGCTTATTTATTAGAATATTGGGTAAATTAAATTGATGGCCTAATTGTAATAATATCTTGGACTTGTTAGGAATGTCCTTGTTGGTGAGATTTATTAACCATTGTTCATTGATGTTTTCTATTGTAAATGTGGAGTTAAAATTGTTAGGATTAATATTAATGTTTTGTGAATTTACTTGTTCATCAGCATTATATTCTATATTGGTGTTCTTTGATAACGAAGTTGCAATTTTGATTTCACGGTTCACTTCAGATGTTGTTGCATAACTCACTTGATAATTTATGTTTTTAATTTTAGTTCGTTTATAATTAAACAATTCATTGCGTAATCTATTGATTTTTTTGTTAATTCGTACATGTTGTGATTTCAATTCCCTATTAAAATTCGATTCTTGTTTACAAAAAAATGCATCGCATACATCGAATGGTAAATTATTATATATCTGTCTGTACAGGTTATAAATAATTTATAGAATTAAGAAAAAATGACATTATTTCGACGTATATTATTTATATTCATGTAAAAAGTACGGTTTTAATATTTCTATAATATTTATCATTACCTACTATTTACATTTCAAGTAAATACAGTAATTGAGATTTGAATACGAGCGGGAATCGCTAGGAAATGGCGGACCAATCAAAAGTGGCACCCTGACGGCCAGTCTCTGTTAGAGGGTCTCTACAAAGCTCCTAAGCACCGGTCGCTGTGATTGATGGTGTCCAATTGAGCCGTGGTCAATCGGGATCACCCCGTCGCCGGACATCCCCGCAACACATCTCCGCATCGCTCACCGACGCAGAACGAGACAACGCAAAACTGACAACATGCGATTATCCGTAATGTAAGTCAGAACAATTTTATTGTAATAGCGAGCATAAAGCGTAAACGATTTTAGAATTGTGTGGGAAGAAAGATAAAAAGAATAATTTAAGTCACGAGCCGCGAGTAAAAAACCGTGAAAGAAATACTTAAATATTAAAATACCCTGTGTGAATCGAATAACAGAAAATAGGAATACCTTAGCGCAAGTAAATACTAAAATACACCAGCGACATCTTAGCGAACCACCGTCCTTATGGATTGCGAAAGATGCGTTAAACAAAATAATAATAAATGTGAATCGAGCGTTAGAATATTCGAACAGCGACTCTCAACCGACTATACCTACTGACGTGACAGGGGTGGAGTTCCGAAAGAATGAACCGTTCGATTTTATTATCGATTGGTGTACTACTGTGTCTTGGTGTACTGATTATAAATATGACCATGAAAATTTCCGACAAGGTTATTTTGACAATCATTTGCCCCGCAATCTGGCTAAGCGTCACTACTCAGTATGCTTACCAATATGTGCTGTCGAGCTGAAAGATGGATAGGACGTACAATTTCTTTACGACTTTTCACGCGAAGTGACTCCCATCTCACTTCCCCTCCTGCTTAGGGGCGCGCGATTTCCACGCGAAGCGACTTCCACCTCACCCCTCCCCACTGCTTGGAGGCGCACGAATTCCACGCGTAACGACTCTCATCCCACCTCCTCACCTGCTTAGAAGCGCACGACTTTCATGCGTAGCAACTCTCATCCCATCTTCCCCCCTGCTTGGGAGGCGCAAGGCTTTTCACGTAAAACACACGAAAAATGTGAAAAAATTAATTCTTAAAAAATGTTTTAAAAATATTAGTTATACTGTAGCGGTACTGGATACAAGATACAGCC